TATCTTGTGCTTTTATATAGGTTCCAATACCTATAATTATTTTTATGATATTAGTTGCTATCTATCTTATTATTGCACCTGTTATATCAAGTCCAAATATTGGATATCTTATTGCAGTTATTATTTTGCTTGCCGGTTTGATATTCTACTATTTATTTGTTTTTCGTAAAATACAACTAAACTTGATGAGTAAATTTATCTACTATATAGCTATTATTTTAAAAATTTATCTATTTTTTAGAAAAAATCAACATGTTTTTTCAAGAATTTTTCGATTTAACAATAGCGGCAGTCAACATTGAAGCATAATTCTATTCATATGTTACTGTTGGCATATAAATTAGCTCTTTTGTAATTATAAATAGATATTTAGTTACATGTTAATATCAAGGGGTCAGTTTTTTTTTACACTCTGTACCTTTTCAAAAAAAAAGATAACGTTCCAAAAAAAGTAGAATGTTCCTTTCATATCAGAAAGTGTTTCGACTAAGTTTGGAACGGTTTCCGACATAAAGGGAACGCATTCCACTTTTCTTGGAACGCGTTAGAACGTTCCACATTTTCCACTGGAAGGGTTGTCAAGATCATTCAAAGATTGAAGGGGAGCGATAATCTTGAGTAAGATCGATATCTTTTTTAAATTTTCTAAGAGGAAAATCGGAAATTTTTGAGAAAAAACTTGTCAAAACGACAAGAATTCTTATCATTAAACACAGTTAAAATATGTATAAATCATTATCTTCACTCTTTTATTTTTTTCTGACAAATGAGCAGCGGACTATGAATATGAACTAGGGTGTGGGTGTGGGTGTGGATCTGTTTGAAGAGAATAGACACCCACACCCACACCCATCCACCCACACCCACACCCACCCACACCCACACCCCACACCCACACCCACACCCATCCACACCCACCCACCCACACCCACACCCACCCACACCCACACCCCACACCCACACCCCACACCCACCCACACCCAAATATAGAGAAAATAATCGATTGTCATTACTTTAAACGATTAGATTAACATCATAATCTACATTAGAAGAAATTATTCATATAAAATTCAACACAATGGCTGAAAAATTCGAAATAAATGTAAATGATTGTGATAAGAATAATTTCTATTGATTGATAATAATGTTCAAATAAATATTCATAAGGTTGAATTTTTTTTTCTTTAGAATGTCATCGATTTGGCTACACGGTATAAAATTTTTCAGATGAAGTTGATGGAGATGTTGAATACAGAAGGTGCTGAAGTCAATAAGGAAAAAGTCAAGCAAATATCCTTGGAATGTGGATTACCAACACCAACAACAAAGTAAATTAGTCAATTGATAACTGTAATGTACTAAATATTATTCTATTCTATTCATTTTTGTTTATTTTGTTGTGTATTGAAGAAATCATTTTTTTTTTCTTATGACATTTATTCATGCCTCAATAAAATAAAAAAGAACAACCAGACTTAAAATTTCACTTTCGAATACTTCATTTACTATAATATTATTCTCAAATCGATTACAATTTTAAATGATCTCTCTCTAATATTTGAAGGACGTATGTAAATAGTTAATTACTTTAATTAAATTGTCTAAAATCATCAATTCTTCATTGAGCAAATTTTGTTTTGACTCAAATAGAGTAATTCATATGAACAATACTAGTAAAAATTGCGATGGTTAGATGAACTTTTAGAGCATGATCATGATTTTTATATTCCCTAGACTGAAAGGCTAGAGTCTAGAAACCTAAATTTATCTGTGTCTGTCTGTCTGTCTGCAATATAGTTATCATATGGTAACTATGGCCCAAATGAACATTTGGTCATCATGATTCAAAGGACCGTGTAATAACTGTGATACAAACAATTGTAAAGTATAGTTAAGACGAGCATTTAATTAGTGGAATTCGAACTAACCGAGTACTACGGCTTAAAGAAAAAATTGTTGGATAAATAATTCAGTACTGTTGGATTGATTGTTCAAAGCTACATATATAAATCAATATCCATCTATTCGTTTCATTGAAAGGAGAAGATTTAGAATCGAGAACTCATCTGTTTCTGTCTGTCTTTAATATAATTCAGATGACCGTGTAGTATGGTTAAAAACGATATTTCCTCAATAGTTTTAAATTAAATCAAAACTATTATGAAGAAGAATTCAATGCAAGAATAACATCGAACAATCACGTTTGTCTTGAAATCGATTTAGATTCATATTGAAGAGCGTTTGAAAAGATATTACGTCCATATGTGTGCGTGTATTATTTGTCCAAGAAAAATAGTAGAATACAAGTTTTCTTATATAGAAAAGGATCATTTTTCTCTAGATGTACATATGGACAGAGAGAGAGAAAAATAAAATAATGCAATTATTACGATGGATGAAAACAACGTCAAGTGAGGAAAGTAAGGAGAAGAAAAGAAAACTAGTGTGAATAATCTTAGCCAATCAGGCAGAAAGTATGATATTGAGAGATACCCAACATCGACATCAGTTCCTATGGAGTCGCCCATACTCTGATTAGCAGCACATAACAATTTTTAGTAGGACTGTTGAGTATTTTTTTAAAATATCATCAATGTCCCAACTCCTTCATATAGAAAAATAGGAGATTCTACCGGAAACTCTTGCTAGTTGATAATGAGTCCCTGCTGTTTTGAAAGATGATATCTATGAAACATATAGAGCTTGATAGTGTGCAATATTTGAGAAGGTTTCATATTGGCTCGCACTTGTTCTGTGGCATAGAGTTGAACACGCCAGAATGTCATATAGTCAAGAATAGCCTAGATCTAGAAACGGTATCATTTTTAAGTATAAAGAAAGCAATGATGACAATGATTGCTTATAGAGAATTGAAGAGAATCTATAACTCTATTGAACCGAGTTTGAAAAAAAATCTCGCATAATTTTATCTTAGAACATTTTAAGAGTTCCAATGTCTATGAGTATCATATATATCCCTCACGGATATTAACCACTAAATGAGCTCTCAGCACTCAAAATTTGAGAAGAGCTAGATTTCTTACTCTTCATTCTATGTGTCGCAAATTGCTCTACGAGATTATATATATATGATATTCTAGTCCTAGCTGGATCACTCAATCTGGCGGAGTTCTTTTTTGACTGTTATTAGTAACGATCCATTTTTTTGGACTCGATTCTTTTTTGTAACGATTGTTTTTCTTTTTAGTTTATATAATGAGAGTAATATGAAAACAACAAATAAAAGTTTAAGTGATAATCAAGAAATGAGATAAACAAAAATTCTCTTTTTGGTTTAGTGTATTTTCATTTAAATTATTTTATTAGAGTTATTACTAGTATATTTTATACAATAATTGAACTTGTACAAGAAATAAATGAAAATACAGATAAACAATGGAAGAATTTTCAATAATTATTACAATATAAATTATGTATTTTCGAATAAATAATAATAATGAATTATTTGCTAGTACATTCTATCATACAATTTATATTTTTTTTTGTAATGCATCTTCGCCACCATTACCTATTCGAAAACTTCATTTACTTCTTTAAAAAACTCTATTAGTTTATATTTTATATATGTATTTAATCGAATATTAATATTGATTGTTTCTTTTTTGAAATAGTATACTCTCGGAAGTGTTGATGAGGTATTTGAACAAAAAAATCAAGCTCAATGTGAACATGGTCTTGAACCTACTACTGAAAATCCAGCTAAAGTTATTGCACGAATGCCACCAATTTCACCACTATTAGCAGGTGCTGAATGTTTAGAAATACAAAATCAAGCTGAAGGTAGAAGACAAGTAACTGAAAGTAAAATATCAATAATGATCTTCTACGGTTTCTCAAATAGCATTTTACGAAACAATCGACTTTGGATTCAGATACTGCTTGGTGATGATAGATCGACAAGTGGAAATAATACATCAACGGATGATGATACGACAACGATTATGGCATCAACAATAGCTTCATCACTTAGTTCATCAGAATCGATGACATCATTAGCAAGTGATGCATCGAGTATTGACCTAGCGTCAACTTTACTTATGAAAGAATTACCTTGAAAAACAAAAGTTAGGTAAAAGAAAACTTATAATCAATAATTTATGTTATAATATTACATTGATTTAAATAGACAAAAAGATTTAGAAGCATTTCTTTAACATACTCGAAAGAAATTAGTTGGGTTTACAATAAAAGATTATTTAACAACATTAATTGGTTTATCAACGTCTATTCATGAGAGTATCGAAATCCTTAAACAGGTAAAAATTTACCTTAAAAAAATAATTGTATATCCTTTCTCTTTCTAGCATTTATATATACATTATTACTTGATACTGACTATCACAAGCCAAGTCAATAATAAGCTTTTTTTCCTTTGAGTCATTGGTAGGGTATTAGATCTTAGGTTAAGCTAAATCACAGATAAACTAATGATTACCGACGAGAGGAATTGAGCCCTCTGCAGAAACAGTTGAGCTTTGCCTAGGATTAAAATGATGTATCATTAACATCAAAAAAAGCATATCCCCTTTTCAGCCTTACACGTGGAAAAATTCTCAACTATCCAATCGCTTTTGATTGTCATGAGAAGTAGTGAAAAAGTCTATTTCGATTTTAGTTTTCTGGTCTTCGCTTGTTGAGTTCTGAACGTTTTACTCGATTTTGCATAGATCCTCAACAAATAAAATGTATGCCGTTTTACTTTTATCCTTACACACGTTTTAAATCTGTTAGAATATTTTATTCTCCTTAGTTCCTTTCGTTCTTTTAGGTCACTTTCGTCCCAATTAGTCATTTTAGATCCCTTTAGTTACTTTATGGTGCTGATATGGCTTAAGATAAGATCGACTCGCACTCTAAAGGTACTAAAGAGTGAAAAGTATGAAGCTCATAGTAGCTTTCAAAGTGTAAACGTAAAACTGGATAAATTTAATTTTTCGTGAATCCTTCACGGTCATCAAAAAACTTTGATTATCATCTAATATATGTCTAGTAATTTGTTTTTTTAGAAAGAAACAAATATACTTGATACTGCAGCTGAACGATTATATCGAACAACTCTCTCATAAATCCCACAATTTCTTGTGAGCACATCAAATCAGTCAAACAAAATCTCTTAAAAAAAGAAACAACAGATTTTTATGCATTGAAATGAATTCTTGTCTGCTAGGGTTATGTTAACGAGTTCAATATGTTGAAATAGATCAACGAAATATAATCGAAATGTCTCATACTGAAAATCGTAAAAAAATACGTTCAAGTATTATCTATAGTAAAATAATATTGAGTCTATATTTAACTATAATGTTTATCATCTAATCTAATAAAAATGATCTTGCTACTTCTTTATTGATCGTGTAAGTGATAAACTTGACTTCGCGACATATGAATTCAATTTACAGATCAATCTGTTTCTGACGGTCTGTATTTCATCGTGCAACAAACATATGATAATACAAATGAAGCAAAAAGGAGAAAGAATAAAATAAGTCATTCAGTAATAAAACTCATTACAATCATAATGACAAAGTCAATGACTATTATCTATTTTCGTTTCATTTCTTAACTCATTAATTCTTTTATTTTAATTGTTAATAATAATAATAAAACAAACGCTCAAGTATAAAGTTCCGATTAGAAAAATCAAGTTGATTCGTGAAAAAATTGTAATGGTAAATGAGCATGAAGTGTACTGCGTGTAGATTGATTGGGATCGACAGTCAAATTTGGATATCTTTCACAAACATTTGGAATGTAATTAAGAAAATTTTCATGTACATAAGTAGTCTTTGGAGATGTTTTAGTACAAACCGAAGTTAAAGATTTTGTATGAATATCCTTGGGTGTATTCAAAAGTAAATGACGTATATTCATTGTAACCGGTTGACCCATACGAACTTTTTCATTTGAAATATCGATTAAAAACGTATCAATTGGATTAGATGCCGAATGTTTCACTAGATGTGATTCGTTAGTAAGATTTTTTTGATATGATTGTTCATTCTTGTTTATTGTCAACGATGACTGAACACGTATCAATGTTCGATGTTCATGAACAGATGTATTATGAATAATATTCGATACTAATGATCTTCGAGGAGGATCAGTTCGAATAGAAATACGATCGAAAGTTTTAGGTTCATATGAATTAAAACGATGAGAAGGAATAGAAAATTTATCGAAGACTATAGAGTAAGATGGAGAAATTGGATATTTTTGCACATGGTGATGTGATGATAAATAATGATCATGATGATACGAAGAACCATTTATGATACTCGGCAATGTGTTCGTCGTCTGAGTATATTTATCACGAATAATAGTAATCATTTTGCCTCGTTTTTTATGTTTACAAGTTGATGATACCAAACCCATGGTATACGAAAATAGAAATGTAATCTTAATTCTCACTTCTACTGTGATGATCAATTTTTTATCTATCTATCGTCTGTCTTTATATATCGAAAGAGAAAAGGATTGATAATAAATTATTATTTTTTTTTGTTCACAAAACCACCATCTGTATGTACATAGCATAGCAGATAAAAAGTCAGATTCACCTTTAACACAAGACAAAAAAAAAGAAGATAAATCTTTGCCATTGCTCTTTCATATATTTATAGATCCAAAAACAAATATATACAAGTACATATCTACATTTGGACAACGACATTCAACATTATAGAGCTATTTAGGAAGAAGAATCTTCTTTTTTTTGCTTCAACATATACTTTTATCTAGTGTCCTCTTTCGAAATATGTTGTTTTTCTTTTTTCTATTTTTCATATAGAGGACAGCAAACATTGACTCAAAATGATAATTATATTGTGTGATTACGTATATTTTTCTTCTATTCTATTCAAGAAATATCAATAAGCGAAAAAAGATAATATCTTTCTTTTATTCATTATTTTAAAATGTCTGAAAACAAGTGAGCCATTTGGCTGCTACTATTATTATTGCTATTAGAATTTTTCTGATTATCTCAGCTAGTCTATTGTATTTTTGCTTTAATCATGAATAAATCACGCAATGATCACCGTCAGCTACCAACACCGATCAATTCAAAAAAGTAACCGCTATGTATATATATATATGCTGCTTGCTTTGGTTTATTAGATTTTATATTTAACTTCATTTTTTGTTTATTAATTATCTAACATTTTTTAGAGTAATGCCATCAGCTCAGGAAGAACATCAAAAAGTTAATATTCGAATTAATGATACAACAGCTGCTAATATTCATAAAGCTGCTGTAACACGTGACTATATTAAACAACCACGATTGAGTAAACAAAAACAAAAAAACAAAAGAAACCACTCTTTAAATATTTATTTTTTCTAGCATATAAAACTGTTGTCGGTGTTAATGGTCCATTAGTTATATTAGATAATGTTAAATTTCCAAAATTTGCTGAAATTGTTAATTTAACATTACCTGATGGTACTATACGTAGTGGACAAATTCTTGAAGTATCAGGATCAAAAGCTGTTGTACAAGTATTTGAAGGAACAGCAGGCATTGATGCAAAATTTACTACTGTAGAATTTACTGGTGATATTTTACGTACACCAGTTTCAGAAGATATGCTTGGTAGAATATTTAATGGTTCAGGAAAACCTATTGATCGTGGTCCATCAGTTTTAGCTGAAGATTATTTAGATATTAATGGTATGTATTAGAATTTTTATTATTAAAAATAATTATTCAATCAAAAATATCTTAAATAGGTGAACCAATTAATCCATTTTCACGTGAATATCCTGAAGAAATGATTCAAACAGGTATATCAGCTATTGATGTTATGAATAGTATTGCTCGTGGTCAAAAGATTCCAATATTTTCAGCAGCTGGTTTACCACATAATGATGTAAATTTCTTTTTTTTCTTTTCGTTTACACAAAAAAAAAAAGCAATGTATCTTTTAATAAATTAGATTGCGGCACAAATATGTCGTCAAGCTGGTCTTGTTAAACATGCAAAAGATGCAGCTGATAGTGATGATAACTTTGCTATTGTTTTTGCAGCTATGGGTGTATGTAATTGAAGGATTTTCTTAAATAAATTAATTTTAATATAAATAATTATTTGTGTTTTTATTATTTTAAAAGGTTAATATGGAAACTGCTCGTTTTTTTAAACAAGATTTTGAAGAGAACGGTTCAATGGAAAATGTTTGTTTATTTTTAAATTTAGCAAATGATCCAACGTAAGAATAGAGAAAAAAAAAACAAATTGTTTATTTGAATATTTAATTTTCTCTAAATAGAATTGAACGTATTATTACACCACGTATTGCATTGACAACAGCAGAATTTCTTGCTTATCAATGTGATAAACATGTACTTGTTATTTTAACTGATATGAGTTCTTATGCAGAAGCATTACGAGAAGTTTCAGCTGCTCGTGAAGAAGTACCTGGTCGTCGTGGCTTTCCTGGTTATATGTATACAGATTTAGCAACTATTTATGAACGTGCTGGACGTGTAGCTGGTCGACATGGATCAATAACACAAATTCCTATTTTATCTATGCCTAATGATGGTTATTATTATTATTATATTAAAATAATCCTAAAATTCTTTTCTTCTATAGATATAACACATCCAATTCCGGATTTAACAGGTTATATTACTGAAGGACAAATCTATGTTGATCGTCAATTACATAATCGACAAGTAAGCAAAATTTCAAAAAAAAAAAAAGGAAAATTCTAATGATTAATAAATTGATTAGATCTATCCACCGATTAATGTCTTACCATCATTATCACGTCTTATGAAATCAGCTATTGGTGAAGGTATGACACGAAAAGATCATGCTGATGTTTCAAATCAATTGGTATATATATATATATATTATATTTCTCTTGAATTATCTATTTTTCTTTTGTTATTCTTGTTTAGTATGCTAATTATGCTATTGGAAAAGATATAGCTGCAATGAAAGCTGTCGTTGGTGAAGAAGCTTTATCATCAGATGATTTACTTTATTTAGAATTTTTAGGCAAATTTGAAAAGAATTTTCTTACGCAAGGTATATTTTTTATGAATAAAATATTAACTTTATTTCTTTTTTTTTTGTATTATAAAGGTCCCTATGAAAATCGTACTATAGCAGATTCATTAGATGTATGTTGGCAATTACTTCGAACATTTCCACGTGAAATGCTTAAACGTATTCCACATAATATTCTTCAAGAATTTTATCCACGTGATGGAGGAAAACATTTACAACAAACAGCAACAACAGCTGAATAAAACAATATACTTAATTTTATCTTCTTATGCATTTATATCTTTATGCTTATTTATCTAATACTAGTGCAATATCCAAACTAATACTGTAATCGTAATAGAAAAAAAAATAGTGATGCAACGACAACATTCTTTTCATATTCCATATTTCTATGTGATTTTATTATATTTTTCTTTTTATTAGAGTATTTCCTGAGATCTTTATCTTTTATAGTTATATATGCACCCTGTCTTGTTTTTTTTTCCCTTCTTCAATAATTATATATTGTTTGTGCATTTAAGATTATGACAAGAAAAAAAATATATATACTTTATTTTTAACTTGAAATTATGTAAAGATTATTGCGCGATTCTTCTTATTTTAGACTATTCATCTTTCAAATTTATTATATATAATAAATCATCGAGCTTTAAATTTCACTAGTTAAAAGAAGAAAAAAAACAAAACCAGTTTTCTACTTTTTATCGTATGACTGATCAGAATATAATTAATCTTCGTTCAGCGGACCCGTTCGCCGATGTAACCGGGTCGAGTGCATCAGATAGTGGCGCTACTGGTGGTGCCGGTGGTCAACGTAGTTCTAATTTAATTCATATTCGTATTCAACAACGAAGTGGAAAAAAAACCTTAACTACAGTTCAAGTATTTTAATCAATATTTTGTTTTTTTGTTTGTATTGATTTTATTTTCTCTTAAATTTAATTATTTAGGGTATTGGTGAAGAATTCGATAAAAAACGTTTATTACGTGCATTCAAAAAGAAATTTGCTTGTAATGGTACAGTTGTTGAACATCAAGAATATGGTGAAGTAATTCAACTTCAAGGTGATCAACGAACTAATGTAAGCCAATTTCTTAAAGAAATTGGTATTTGTCAAGCTGAACAACTTAAAGTCCATGGCTTCTGAAAATAATGATTATATTCATTCGATATAAATTTCTCATTTTCCGGAAAGAAAAACAGAACTATATATTTATGTTCCATTCATTTTTCTGTTTCTTATGTTTATCATTGATTTCTTTTTCTCAGAAATATATATGCATGTCAACTTAAAAAAACATTCTCTCAAATTTGATATTATCTATTCTATTAAATAGATCAAGTGATAGATTTCGAAAGTAAAAAATAACAAATGTGATTGAGAAATTAAACGATATATTAAACTTCCATCAGTAATATATACAGTTTACGTAAATTTGTGGATTGTTTCTCCCTAGCGTGTGTATTGCTTACCAGTTAGTCTCTTGTGATTCAAATGTTTAATGAATTTCATTTGTTCAAAAGTATCATGTAGGATTCTTTTGAATAAAAACAGTTCATTATTACGCCCCATTTCTGAAGAGATCGAATATTTTTAGTGAATTTTCGCTGAACTCTCCTACATTTACAGTAAGATCATATTTTCGAATTTCGATGTAAAAATTTGTCCATATAGAAACTTCAATTAGGCTAGCTGGTATAAAATATTTCAGATGTCTTGGGCTAAACAACTCTGAGATATGCAGAGATTTAGTCTAAAAATTCTGAAATATTTGTTTTACAAGCTAGAATAATTGATGTCATTAGGTAGGCAAAGTTTCAGATTGAAATTCGAAAATATGGTCTTGTTGCAAAGGTGAAATTATACAGCGAAAACTCACTAAAAACTTTCGATTAGCTCAAAAACAGACCATAAATAGGATATTTTTTAAATGTTAGACAGAGTTCATTGAGGTTACGAGATGCATAAACGTGGAAAACTTCCCGGATGCTTCCCTGTTGATTTCAATTATTTTTTTTTTGAATATAGATGCTATATCATTGGCTAGTGAAAGTTCTAAAAGGACTTGTGTTCCTATTGACATTTAACAGAGCTATTGAATTTTTAGTATATCTATTTGTTAGAAACGACCGTAGAATTCCATGTTTTCTGAATAATCGTATTTTGAATATTGTCTTGAAATTATCACGAATTGAAAGTCTCATATAAAGTAGCTCGTATGAAGAGTTTCAAAGTTTGTGAACTTCATCTCTGTAAACTTTTCATAAATAGAAGTGTAGTGAATAATATAAGAATATTTTTAAAATTACATAGCTCGTAGGAATTCAAGCCCTGTTAGGATTTTTATTACTAGAGTATTATGTAGTGTCGATAGACAAAAAATAATTCAAAATCGAAAGGAGACATTTGGGAAAGTTCTTTCGTAAGCTTCGACGAAAAAACAAACCGGCATCTGAAAATATTCCCTCGTCAGAGTCATGATTTTGCTAAAGCAAACCTTTATAAAAAAAAAAGAAATTTATGCAAAGTGATCTATAAGTAACAGGACAACAAGGGTACCCTATAATAACTGATGATAAATTGTTAATGGTATTTTTCATACTTTTATTAATGTAGAAAGCTGACATTTTTATCATATATATATATCTAATCGAGAACTTTTACTACTGAAAGTTTCACCTTTTTATATCAATAAAAGGTATGAAAAATGTCATTAACAATTTATCATCAGTAATTATAGGATACCCTTGATGTCCTGTTACCTTTCGGCCATCCTGTATTTTAATTAATTATTTTCAAATGAAAGTATTAAATCTATTTTAATTCAAAAATTTTTCTTAGTAAAGTGCCGATAATTAGAATTTCAAATAAAAAGTTTTTTTCCTATTTTTTTACATTATCTGATAGACCAGGAACTGCTGATCACGAAAATCTACTTTCTAGCCTTAGCGAATATTTCCTTCCGATCGAAAAACATGAAATACTCGAGAGATATCGTTTTTCGAGAAAAACACATCCCTTGCAAATGTAAAATTTTCTACTTCATTCTTTTTTTCTGTTTCTGAAAATAATTTTTTCAAATTCCGCATCAAAAACTCAGTATATATGAGTTGTTAAATCGACTCCAGATCCAAAACTCTTTTGGTGAGGGTACTTTGAATTGCGTCAAATGCACCACGTATGGATCGATTTTCTAAAGCTATCTAGTTCTTCTATGTAAGCGATAGAGTTAAATATTTTGTTTCATTCTATTTATCATACCACCCCCCAACATCTCTAGTATGGATTTTTTTCTTTCTTGAGAAAATCCAGTTTTGCTGAATTTTGGATCAAATAGGCGGAATTTGGCTCATATTTCTTCATAAAACGAAGCTTTCATGCAATAATATTATCAAATTCAAAATCAGCACAAAAAAACTGAATCGATTGATGTATGTTTTTGAAAATTCTGTTAACTTTTATTTTTTGATGAAAATTGCAGCCAGGTTTTCATCCGAAAACTCGAAAAAAACTGAAATCAACGAAAGATATTAAATTATACATCAATTGATCCAGTTTTTTGTGCTGATTTTGAATTTGATAATATTATTGCATGAAAGCTTCGTTTTATGAAGAAATATGAGCCAAATTCCGCCTATCTGATCCAAAATCCAGAAAAACTGGATTTTCTCATGAAAGAAAAAAAATCCATACTAGGGGTGTTGGGAATGAACAAAATATTTAGCTCTATCGCTTACATAGAAGAACTAGATAGCTTTAGAAAATCGACCTATACGTGGTGCACTCGACGCGATTCGAAGCACCCCACTAAAAGAGTTTTGGATCTGGAGTCGATTTAACAACTCATATATACTCAGTTTTTGATGCGGAATTTGAAAAAATTATTTTCAGAAACAAAAAAAAAGAATGAAGTCGAAAATTTTACATATTTTTGCTAGGGATGTGTTTTTCTCGAAAAACGACACCTCTCGAGTATTTCTTATTTTTCGATCGGAAGGAAGTATTTGCTAAAGTTAGAAAGTAGATTTTCATGATCAGTAGCTCCTGGTCTATCAGATGATGTAAAAAAATGGGGAAAAAAAATTTTTTATCTGAAATTCGAATTACTGGTACCTTATATTAAAAGAAAATTTCTATACTACTTGTGACCTCTGTTATTTCTCTAAAATTATTCGTAGATAATGAGTCATGTGTAAGTCAAATAAATCCTCTTGTTGTCAATTTATTTTTTCAATTTCGGAATAGGCATGAGTAACCCCATAACAACGGACTATAGTATTGATAGTGTCTACAAAACTTTTAGCAATGTTATTGATAAATCCGATATGAAATCACTTCATCTTCATGAATTTATTATTGCTTTTCAAGAATTATCAAAGCAAGTATTAATAACATATAATTCATTCTAATATATTTAATGTTTTATTATATAGATTTTTCAATCATCTCAATAGAGTTTTTTCTTTTATTGCTTATGACCTTGCTGATAAATATGATATTATTGAGAATCTCTGTCAAACTAATCCAATAGATTATTGTACTATTCAAACAATGATTGAATATGAAAAATTTCGAGATGATAAAACAGGAACAATTGCCCTATTACGTTTATTAAGAGCTTTAGAATTTATTTATCTTTTCTTAAAACAAGCTATTATTTCACCAATGAATTCTTCAACAACAAAACATATTGCGTGGGATGTATATAAACAAACTTTACATAAACGACATAATAAAGCTATTCGATTAACAATTTGGTTTGCAACAGCAACAATACCTAAACGTGAAATATTAAAAGAAACTTTATTACATGGTGAAATTGAACCTAATACAGCTGATAAATGTTTTCCATTAATTGAAAATATTTATCGTAATATTTATGAATTATATGAAGAAAATGATCTACTTGAATTAGTTTCATTGTGATAAATTAAACAAAAAAAATCTCTTTTTTTTTTCACTCTTTTTATTTGTCAGAACACAAAAAACATCTTTTTTTTATACATGCACAATTATTATATTTCCTTATTTTTTTTTTTTATTATTATAATTAATAACATAATTAACTCTTTCGAAGACCTAATGCAGGTATTAATATGACGAGAATTATAACACCAATAGTAATAGCTACAGAAACAATAACTGTCACTTTCTGAAAGTGAAAATAGATCTTTTTGTTTGTTTTTTTTTGGAATAATTATACATTTCACTCACTCGTCGAGAAATACTACGTGATGTTCGTTCAATAACTGGTATTGCATCTTGTGTAGTTGGACCATCGACGAAAGGTGTATCAGCGGACATCATCATATCTCGATCATTTCTAAGTTCCTAAAATATATTATCATAAAAATTATGTCTTTAATTTAAAAAAAGAACAATCATTAGACTATCGAAGATACTTAATAGAAATTTTTTTTTTTTTGTTCATCGACATCAAAATTTTAGCTTTCAATATCAACAAAACATATTCTATAAAAGTTGTGCTTGTTACCATATTGATTGATTCAAGTTTTATAAGGATAATAAGAATGCGAAAATTGCATTATGATTTATCTAAAATGTCTATTTGATAATAATCTATCTTCTATCGGGATTCTAAATCAATGAATTCCCAGCTGAATTTTTTATTTTCTATAGAATGGTTAAAAAAAAAAATATTCGAAAGTAAATAGTATCTTCAGATCGACATGGATTCCACATCTCTCTCTCTCTGTTGCATAATAGTTCTCATGATTTTTCAATACAAAACTTTTAGCATTTTTCGTTGCCATGATACGATTATACAGCAAAATAAATATGACATTCGAAATAAATGTTAAAATCTATGTTGAATTAAAAACATTTTATAAAAAATTTTTTTCCTATGAAAAATTCATTTGTGATCTTTCCCATTGTATTTTGCCACATGATCTCATAGGAATCAGTTTTTCGTAGGAAAAAAAATGTCTCTATTTAATGTAGTTTTTTGACATTCATTCCGATTGTCGCATTTAATTTGCTTTACAATTGTGTCATGATAATAAAAATGCTATCATTATGTAATGGAGATATGTAAAATCTATTTTGCTTCGAAGATATCATTTACTATCGAATCTTTTTTTTTTGTTTATCATTTTATAGAAAAAATTCAACTGGGAATTCTTTGATTTAGAATCCCGATAGAAGATAGATTATTATCAAATAGACATTTTAGATAAATCATAATGCAATTTTTGTATTCTTATTATCCTTATAAAACTTGAGTCAATCAATATTGTAACGAGAATAGCTTTTATAGAATATGTTTTGTTGATATTAGACGCTAAAATTTTGATGTTAATGGTTTTCTACGTCGATGCACAAAGAGAAAAAAAAGAAATTTTTTTTCGAGTGCCTCATAATTCTTTTCTTAATTATCCTCAGTGCAGCTGTCACTCAGCACGTGAGACAGAAGGAGAGAAGGGCACACAATGCTTGAGTCTTAAGAAAAGCAACTCTTCGTACACAACGTTCCATAACAGAAACGTACGCTACGAGTCTCTCTCAGGATCTTGAAAATTTTGCTTTAGATTACAAATGTTTTATCTTTCTTCTACGGTATGATATATTGTTTAATAATTTTGAAAAGAAATAATTATTATTATAGCAGGTGATAATAGAATATTCAGCTTTTTTTTTATTTTGTATTGTTTTCTAACGTTTTTATTTTATTTACTTCGTATAGAAAAAAATTAATTTCTACATACATTAGCCGTCAAAGTATTGTTCGTACGTTCCAACATTTTCCGCTTATTCTACGTTGTTCGGTCACGTAACTGTGTCCCATTTTCAGCACGATAGGAAGCATCATCTTCTCTTCCGGTTGAGTCAGAAAGAGAGAAAGAAAAAGAAAAAAGAGTATTTCATGCGTTCTTCAATTCTTTTCTCTTTTCATTATCATATACCAGAAAATATTGCTTGATCGGCGAACTACCAATCATGTCTTTTTTTATTTCCTATTATCAGTTTACCGAATTTCTTTTCTTTTTTTCTTTATATAACAATTAATGATTGAATAGATTCATAATAATGATTTCTTTTTTGTTTCTCTAATTTCATGTCATAGTAATCTTGCTTCGAAAAGATCTGATTACAGATGATTATCAAGATAATATATTCTGAATTAGAGATATGATAGATACGACAATTTATGTCAACTGATAATATTAAGAAGAAAGTAAAAATGTTTTTTTTTTCTTTTCTCGTGATTCGTCTATAATTACTGTTATTTTACAGTTAGTTGATTTTATTTTTTTTTTCTTCTTCTTGAGTGCCACCATTACTTCTGTAAGACTATTATGTGATTGAGATGTTGTATAGAAAGAGAAAGTAAGAACAGAAGGAAGAAATAAGTTAATAACAGAACGTGTCATTTACTTCTTCGTTTCTTTTTTTCCATTTCTTTTTAAATGCAAATCATCAATGACATGACCACACATGATGTGCAATCTATTTTTACAGACTGATATCCTTGGTTATGTAAACGCATAATATCATAGGAATTTTTCTCTGGTCTATTTTATATTTTCTTATAAAATATTGACTTTCATTTGAAAGAAATGAATATCTTATTGTTTCTTTTTCTTTTTCATTGACAACAGAAAATATAACGAGTAAAAAATATTCAAAACATATATGCATATATTACCATATGTAATCGTATACCTATTTTCTTTTTCTTTTCTATAGATTATTTTTGTTTTAGTTACAATGGCAACGTTTTATTGTAAGTAACAACTAGTATCTCCTATTGATAAAAATATCTACAAAAGCAATTTATCTATAGTGTTCATTATCATTGTATTATTATCATTAAATTTTTTTCAATCAATAAATTCAGAATCAACAAATTCAACTTCAATATTCAATTTATATGATAATTCAACAATAAGAATTAATATTATAGAAAATAAGATTAATCAAACATCAACATCAACAAATACATATTTCAATACGACGACAATTTTTATTGTTAATACGAAAATAAATTCATCGGATATAACTACGAAAACAAATGAAATAATATTAACAACAACAACTTCACAATCTTCTATTTCATTAAATACACCTTCTATAACAGAATCAACTACTTTCGATATTAACAATAATCATTCCAAAAAATGTAAGTAAATTTGAAAATTATTCATCATAATTTTAGAATTTATATTTTGTTTTCTCAATTGAAAACAAAAGTTTTCATCCTTTTATTTTTTTCTATAAATAAATATCATATTTGACTTAAATCTCTTTTTAATAAATAGCATCGTCAAGATCAAAATGGTGGTTATTAATTGCACTTATAATAACAGTAGTGGCTGTTACTAGTATTGCAATCATCTATCATCAACGACGACAAACACCATATAGACGGTATCTATGACACTTTTGATAAATGAATACATTGCTGATGAGATTAGTTTGCTTGAACTAATATACTTCAGATATACACATTAGTAAAAAACAATGCCAATACAGGTAGCAATTTAGAAGAAAAAAAAAAGCATATTTTTGTCTTGAATTTAGTTAGTATTCATTGCATGCATTGTATTCTATGATTTTTTTTCCATAATCTTTACTATTTTTTTCCTCTTATTAGATTTCTTCGAAATTGGCAAGCACGTGATGATGATGCAGATAATACAATTCTTCAACTCGAACAACCTGATCTAATAAATAATCAATGGCCACATCAAATCTCTTTAGTTTAGTTATTTATTTATTTATTTTTTTTGTTTATTGCAAGATTTCTATAAATAATTATTATTGTTACAATATTCCCGATAAATACCGGGCTTTTTTTATTTATTAAGGTGCTCGAAGAGTCCAACCACTTTCTTTTGCACGTTTTTCACGTTCAGTTATTTTTGTTTCATTCCAAGTATTTAGACGTGGTTGTTCACGTGTTTTTGTATTACATTCAAATTGTAATGTATAAGCACGACGTGGTTCATTTGAACAATTAGGTCCAGTATGATGTAATGTACGACAATGATGAAAAGTTGCACCACCACTTGGAAGTGGACATGACATAATATTCTTTGTTAATTCATTTGGATTATCAACTTCAAGACCATGTATACGTGGATTATTATTTTGAGTATGATGAGGAAGTACATCATACATACGATGTGAACCAGGAATGAATTGCATACAACCATTTTCAATTGATACTGGTTGAAGTGCAACCCAAACACCAAGTGATTCATAGGTTAATGTTGGATTCCAATAAGCTTCATCTTGATGCCATGGTGTTGGAAGTGAATTAGATGTTGACGGTTTTAAAATTGCATGATCCTAATTGAAAAAGACAAAGAATTATTGATATATATATTCTTTTTATTTATCATACTCCTTTAAATATTGTATCTTCACCAAGTAAAGCTTTACTTATTGCATATGCATTTGCATACATTTGTGTACTATATAAATCAAATCCAGTCATTTGTTTACCATAAATTGATGGCCATAAAAGTTGTGGTGCAACTGCTTCTTTATCATCAGTATCTTCAGAAAGTAAATCAAAAAAATTTCCATGTTCTCGACCAAGTTTAGCAGCAAACCACTATAAGAAATACAAACAATAAAAAAAAAAATTTTTTGTAATTCGATCTATGATAGAAATACTTGATCGTATTGATTACGAATATTAGATACTTCATTATCATCAATAAAATTATCAATACTTAAAAAACCATTTGTTTTAAAAAAATCAATTTGTTCTTGAGTTAATTTAATTGTTGATTCTTTAATTGGTTTATCTGTTTCGGGTAGAACAAAAAGAGCATGAGCTTGATGTGGATTTGTGATTGTCTCCATATAGATTTATTTAAATAATAAAAATATGATAAAATACGCAAATCTAACTTATATATTTATCTATTTTATCTTAACTTATGCCTACTTTAAGTGTCATAAAACATGTGCCTATATCAAACACAAATTCTTTATCTTTGACGTCGATAAAAAAGAAACATCACTGAAAGTTTTTATTTATTCAAAGAAACAGAAACACAAATTTAATGTTTTACTTATTATTTCATCAAACAAATGTGATATTTATCAATGATACTAGAAAAATCATATGTATCGATAACAAAACAACCATAACTATTTCATCAAAAGCCTTCAACAAGAAAAATGATATAGTAGCGACGTACTTTGGCGACTTTTGTATTCTAGCATATTATTTGACGTCGTTTTTTTGAAATGTTCAGATATAATAATATCTAAAAACCCGGAAAAAAAAAGGATATTACTAGATATTTTAAAATTCGAAATCAGCAAACCTTGTGCTAACAGGAAAGGTTCTCCAACTGATTAAATACTTTCATCGTTCTCTATTACTTTTGAAAGCGACGTATTTATTTCATAATAGAACCCTAGTAAATGTATTGAATCGACAGGGTATCTTTTCAGGTGCCGTGTTGAGAATTGTTTCTGTACATGAGTACTTACCAGGTATCTGTCTAGTTTCTATAGAATTCTACGAAAATTTTTTCAACAGACTAGCAAATTGTACAGTGATCAACATTTTATAGTCAAATGCTAAAAACTCACAAAATATGCTGAAGTATCCAAATGTTCTTGTGACAGATTGATACAAGAGTACCTGAAATTCATTACATTCATTAGGATACATCATCTAAGTTTATATTTATTAGAAAACAAGTAAATACAACATATTCATAGAAAAATAATATTTAAAAGAATCTGAAATCATGGCACATATAAGAAAGTTATTAGCGCAATCTCTGTGGAATTAAAATGTGAAATACGATATATTCATTGTTGCTAATTCCCTAAAAGCTTGTCTTTTCTATATATATTGTAGCATATATCGTAATCATATTTATCTTACTACATAAAACTTCAACAATGAAATACTTTCTACATAGATACCAATTATATGTTAGTTATACATAACCTCCAATAGTTCCTTGAAACCGTTCGTTACTATCTTTAGATCGTATTTTACAAAAATATTTGGTATCAAATAGACAAGTCTAGAAGATCACTAGAGTGGATGGATTTTCATATAGAAATAAAAAATAGAATGTATAAACTTTCTAGTAGAAACAAATTATTGTAATAGGAGAACGTTCCTTTATCGATGAAATAGCTTAGTTATAAATGGCATTTTTACGCTATCAGAAGGACAATGCAAAATACTTTTTCTCGATTGCTTTTTCAGGAATTATAGTTAACTTTCTGAAGAAATAGACATTCAAAAAACATGACTATTTTTCAACTAGTGATTTCATCACGACGCGTTTTTCTAGCTCTAAATCTGCACTGTTATATATGTGGAATTCTTTCTTTGCTCTATGTACAGCTTGTCATCTAAGCTATAACTTTCCTATAGGAAAGTTTCCCATCATATTTGAAGTTGAGCTAAAGTTTTTAGTTTTTGACACGATACTCAAACCTAGTTACCATTTTTTGTGATTCCGTCACGGCCTTATATTTCGACTGTAAAAGCTGTGAAAGGAGAGCGATATCAAATGAGACTTTTATCACATATAGGGCAGTCCAACTTACATATCTTCTGATAGTATCAACCTCTACCTGATCTGAATGTCTTGAGATATTGAAGAGAGAAAATGAAAAAACATGATTCCGTCACGGTTGGATAGGTCGAACTAAAACTGAGTCAAAAAAAGTTTTTTTTAAGTTCCAAACTATTTTTTAGGACTGAAAACTGCTTTTAGCACAAAAATAACTACTTTTTAAAGGCCATACAAGTTTTCGTTTTTATGATTCTTTTCAGCTTCTTAACTTTTTTGTTTTGGATTCTGTATTAGATACTAAGAGCACAGTTTGGTATAACCTCCACTATAGAAATCTATACCTGATATCTTTTCATTCATTGTACTCCTACGCCACGAATACTTGACTTTCTTCCGAACTAAAAGCAATAAACCGAAATCTCAAATAAAGTTAAATACAAAAATAAGTGTTTGTAATGTAAGAAAAGTTAGCAGTCCATTCGAGTATTTCCTATGATTTGGTTCGGAAAGTTTTAGGGAATCCAGCCACTTAAAGAGACTTTTATCTAGATGATTTATATATCATTGGATAGAACTTGAAATTTTGCATCCATTAGCATAATTCACCAATGGGCTATATACTTAGGCTAATCGTCATGAGTTTTAACGAAAATGCTAATTTTTCTCCATATGGCTTATGGCTTTTTTAGGTTTTTGTGATGACCCAGTTGAAGTTTCGTGGTATTCGATGACATCGTTAGATAGAGCTCTTCGAGTTATAGGTGGCTTACTAGTTTTCTTTTATGGTCTAGTTGTCCAGGCGAATACTCATGGCAAATACTCCAATCGGCTGCTATTTTTCTTACATCCAAAAATCACTAGAACAATATTTTTTCAAATAAAAAAACACACCCGCGCCAAGTAGTGCCTAATATATATGAAAAAAGTTTGAGACGGATACATATTACTCTGTCGGAGGAAAGGAGTGAAATAGTACTTTCTCGGTAAAAACATTGATTTTCAGAAGAATTCGATAGAACGAAAAAAACCTCTCATCTCACACAGAAAATGCAAAATTTTGTTTATTTTTCTAACCTTAATTCCACATTCCAATTCTCGAAACCTATCCAATGGATAGAGAGGATACTTGAAAGTACATATACCAATGAAAAAATTTTCAAAAAAACTTCTTTTTTCATGTTCGAAAAGAATGAGTAGTCTTAATAATAGATATGTTAAGTTTTGAAAATATCGATGGAATAACGCTACATGATCAACATGGAAATGAAACTCTTAATTTTATTTCCTTTCTGTTGTTATCCATTTCACTTTTCAATACTTCTTCACATAATACACACGTGTTCAAAATTACTCATTGTGTTGTGCCAGCCAATATGTGACAGAGGATTTGTATATTCTAAAGAAGCAACATTTAACTTTTGAATTTATCGATTTCAACCTCTGATACTCTGTCATGAAAGATAGATTTGATAATATTTCTCTGAATTTTCAATTTTTTAATTGGTTCATCCGATCTTATTTCCACCATAATACTATAAACGATAAAAATATGATACAATACAAAGCGAATAACCGCTAGTCCGACGAATTGACAAGCTAAGAAAAACAGGAGAATTTTAAACAAAAAGAAGGATAACACTATCGCTAAGCGGTCAAACACATTATATACATATGTATACATAGATGACGGAGTATTGAACCAAATAGACAATTATCGTTCGACATGTCTACTGGAAAAAAAGATACTATCAATATACTCGATTTACCTGACGAAATAGTGCTTGCTATCATCAGGAAATTAAATATGATCAATGTACTTTATTCACTGGTGGGTGTAAATCAACGATTTGATCGACTTGTACTCGATCCTCTCTATGTTCATCATCTAGATTTAACGGTTACGTCGTTGCTTAATAACAATTTTTCAGTAGGCAAGAAAGTTCTTGATAGAATTTGTGAAGAAATTTTGCCTCGAATTAGTAATAATATTAAAAAAATCATTCTTGATCAACATTCTATGGAACGTATACTTCCTGCTATTGTCTTTTCTCAACTTTATTCATTAACACTTAGCACTTTACAACCAGATGCACTTTTACCATACTTAACAGGTATACTTTTTGTTTTTTAAAAACTTTTACTAATTTAATCAAGAAAATATTTCTGTAAATTGAAGGTGATACAAAGCTTCGTTATCTGCTCACTAATCAAATCACACATCTTAATATTGACATCCTTGATCAAGTAACAACAGAACTAAATAATGAAAATGAATCAAATATATTTACATTAATATTATCGATAGGCAAATGCGTTACTGATTTGACTTTTAGTCAATGACTTTGTTATAAACATACATGGATTTCAATTTTTCATTTGCCATCAACAAGTTGTGTTTCTTCAACGCTCACTAAATTGAATATTAATGTTAATACTTTTGATGATTGTCTTTATCTTCTTGATGATCATCTCGATTCTTTATCTACAATAATCATTAATATTCGTAAAATTTCCGCTCCATTATTAGATATTGATAACACAGTAAGGATAGATTTTTGTATTATGAATAAACATTAAATCAAAAATACATTGTTGTTACATTTTCTTTATAGAAGCCACTTCTCAAACTCAAATGTTTTTCATTAATTACGTATGTTCAAACATATTTTTATGATAGTCGAGTTGTGCCATTACTATGTCGAATATGAAATCTTGAAGAATTAACATTATATCTATCGATAAGACGAATTGAATCGACTTATATTGATGGTACTCATTTATACGATGAAATTCTTATTCATATGCCACAATTAAAAAAATTCAATTTCAATATATATACACTTGTTTTCAACAAAGATATCAAAATTAATCTTCCATCAAACAATGATATTCAACAGAGTTTTGTCAAAAGAGGATATCAACAAATTGATTCATATACTCACAAACGATCAACAATAAATGTATCCACATGCCATATCTATTCACTTCCATATCAATTTGATAATTTTTTTAATATGAACTGCCATTTTCCAGGTGGTATATTTGAGAAAGTTCAGTGTGTGGTGATGACTGATAAAGAACATCCATTCGAACGTGAACTTTTTCAAATTATGTCTCATTCTTTTCCTTTTCTTCGACAATTAGCTATGTGTAATTATGAACCACAAAAAAGAAAACAGCATTCATCTGTAATCATCACCTTTCCTCATCTTCGTAGTATCGATCTTCAAAAAGCAAATATTGATTATGGTTCTGAATTTCTCTGTGATATAAAAATTCATTTGCCTTGTTTGTTGAAACTGAGAATTACTTACGAATCATTAGTAATGATAACAAACAATTTTACGAATGATTGGACACGTCTCACCTGTACTCGTTTGCAATCTCTTATTATTTCTGGCTTCTATGTTCCTCCAGAAAATTTTCATACATATTTTCCTTTATGTTACATGTAACTTGTGTCAAAAATTTTGATTACTTATTTTTTTCTATGATGAATTGTATTCATTGTAGAAATCTGCAATCTTCGATAAATTGATATCTTAAGAGTGATGGTGTGAGAAAACTTTTCTGTGATTAAAACAGAAAAAGAACTGATAGAAATATAAGAATTATTTAGTTGAAAAATTCCTTAAGGTATTTTATTTATTTCAAAATAAAATATGAGGTGTTGATTGTAAGATTTCTACCTGTTTTAATTGTTTAAAAGCAAAGTAAATTCTTCATTAGGTATGTTTTAGGGATGGATATGATGACGTTGAAGAGCTAGTTGAATTTGTTTTAAATATGCATTCGGTGTCTTTTATCATTCCAAAAAAAAAAGAATAGCATTGATAGATTAATTGATCGTGTACAATTAAATAAATAACTTCATATTACGTTATTGAAAATCCTATTTCAAGATCTTCTGGTGAGGCTATGGAATCAACCAATATAAATACTATAAAGGCAATCAATGTGAAAATTAAAATAAATATATCATTAAGTTCTAATGTTGAGTGAAGAGTTCGAGCATTATGTATATTTTGTGAATGAACCAGAGAAGTGCGCGAAAAAGATATATTAAGAATAACCAGCCATGATCGATTTCGACCTTGCTTAAGGGTTGAAATCAGATGGCTTTACTCAATTCATCATCACCATCATAAGATAACAACGAAACTGCAATCAACCCCCTAGAATCGAGGAGATACAGTGTTAAAATGTATTAATACTATCTGTTTTCAACCCTTAAGCAAGGCCGAAACCAGTCATGACTACTTATTCCTATTGTATCTTCTCTATTTTATAGGGATTGATTTGCAGTTTCGTCGTCATCTCATGATGATGAATTTGAATAATGCCATCTTCAGAGTCTCTTAAGCAAGAACGAAACCGATCAAGGTTACTTATTCAATATTCTAAAATAATTATATTAATTATCCAAGTTAAAAATGAGAAAGCATAATTAATTATCGATATGATAACTTTTAACTTTTCCTAAAATAAATGAAAAAAGTAAGACAAAAAAAAGCTAGTTGAAGATAATCGTGATGTCATTATCTGCAATTCTTGTATGTAAACGATTCTTGATTAATTAATCTTAATTGTTCATTATTGAAATAGCTCAAACATATTTTATTACTTTTAAAAATTATTTTAATTGAGGAAATTTTTATTAAAAAACAAAAAAAAAATCTTTCGTCATACAAATTCGATTGTCATACTATTTATCTATATATAAGTTTTTATTATAATCATGTCAAATAATATCAATAGATATTTATCTATTAGAATTATTTTTATTTTTATTTTATTTAAATGTAAACATTAGATTTTAAAATAAAAAAAAATTCTCATTGATAAAAATTAAATTTATCTAAGATAGTTAAAGATTTATTTTCAATGAAATATATTTCATTTAAATAAAAGTTCTTTTTTTTTTTGATAATTTCATCTAAAATTATCTTTGCTCATTGATTAATTTGCCAAGAAAGATATTCACAAATTATCGATTTTATTTTTTCAACATTTATATGGCCTAGAATAATATATTTAAATGTTCA